AATCCCTTCACTACCAATTTAATGCTAAGAGCCGATGACTTTCATCAAATCCGACAACATTTTAGTAAACGACAGCTCTGTTGATTAGGCTGCTGTCCACCCACGTATTACAAGGCCGAGGAAGCCATAAATCTTAATCCTCATATAGCAGCAGAAAGATCTAAGGCCAGGAAGCGGTGGGGGGAAGGACAGTGCCGACCAGGGCCCATTCATCACCGCCAGGGCTCCACGGTGCGGGTGGCGGCTCGGAGGCCCAGCAGAGCAGCACCACTCACCCGGCTGCTTCCCCAGGGCTGAGAGGCCCAAGAAGGGTTTGCAGCTGGAGCTGGGCAGCCTCTCGGCCAGCAGTTACTGACGCTGTGACTTGGCGGTCCAGGGATCCTCAGGCCGGTGAGCCTGCGGCAGCCCTGCCAGCAAAGGCAGCTCTACCCAAAAGTGCTTCCTAGCTGCTGGGCAAGACCCTAAGAAGGAAAATCTGTCCTGTTCGAGGAGGTTTTGGGGTTGGTCAGTAGAAAGGGGATGTGTGACTCAAAGGGTTTAGGGGAGACACTGAGAAAGAGGAGTATGGAAACAGGTTGGAGAGGCAGGGGTGCAGCGGGGAGGAGGAGCCAGCCGGGCGTAGACTGTGACCACTGTGTCCCCCTGATCAGCCAGTGCAAATGCACGAGGTGACTGTGTGGCCAAACCTGTCCCTCCTGCTGGTATGGGAGTAGCTGAAGGACTGGGCAGGGCTGTGGTCCCTCTCCTGAGGGGGTGGCTTTTGAGAACTGGCCACCTCTAGCCACTGGAGACTGCTGCCTTGACCCCCGGCTGCCTCCAAGGACAGTGGAGCCCGTTCAGAAGGGTAGAGACTGTCTTCATCTCCATCTCACGCCCCCACGTCCTCTCTACCACGGAGAACTCGCTTCATAACGCCGCTCACTACCTCGGCCCAAAGGAAGCCAAGCCAGCCTCTTCCTCAGACAGGAACAGTGCCATTGGCACACCCAGGCCATTCACTGCCCTCCTCTGTGCCCTGGCCATCCGGCCTTTCAGCCTGACCCCACTTCCTAGTGTCCCCTGTGCCCCTCACTGGGCCCTCTTCCTCCAGACCTTCCCGGAGCAGCTCCCTCTCATCTTCAGGGGTCAGCTCAGGTGTGGCCCCGGGAAGCCTCTGTAGCCACCCTCTCCCGAGCGTCTCTTCCCCCAGACACTGTCATCCATTGCACTCTCCCCTCTCTTTCCCATGCTTGTTTGTTTGCTTATTGGCTTTTTGTCCTTGGCTCTCCACCCACACCCCATAAAAGCAAGCTCCAGGAGAGCCGGCCTGGCCTGCATCACTCATTGCTAAGACCACAGTACTGACAAGTGTCCAGAATTTAGTAGGTGCTCATAAGCGATCACAGAATGCATGGACGGCCCTCCGCACCTGCCCTGCACTGACTACGGCAGGCATGTTTCACTGATGCTTCCTGTGCCAGGCGCTGCTTGAAATGCTCACCAAACACTGGCTCATTCCATCCTCGTTACCAGCCCTGTGAGACAGGAACCATTATCAACCCTGCGTACACTTCAAAAACAAGTACCGCGAGGTTTAGCAACTCATCTAGGACCATGCAACTAGTCAGTGATGCAGCCAAGGCCTTGAACCTGGGCAGGGGGGTGCCGAGTCCATACTTTTAACCACTTCTCTAGACTTGTCTGTCACCTGCTGCCAAGGGCACAAGCAGAACCCTCGCTGATGGACCACCTGGCACACTGTGAGCACATCTTTCCCAGCAGCCCTGGGCGGCTTCATTGATGAGGAGCCCAGAGTTCAGAGGTCACACTGTCAGCTCCAGGGCACTTAGCTAGTAAGGAATTAGTCTGATTTCAAAGCCCTTTCCCTCCTACTCCTTAAGGGTCACAGGTTCAAATATCCCAAAGAGCCAGGGAAACGGAAAGACGTAAGAGAAATAGTAGCAGAGCAGATAACAAAATCCAACTTACTGGGCCTCAGCTCTGGGACTCTAAGGGAGCGGTGGGGACTGCAGCAAACCAGCGGGCTTGTCCCCTCGCCCGGCTCCCACTAGTGGCTGCCTGATGGGAGGGAGCCCAGCCTGGGGGCCAGATCTTTCCATTTTTCTAGAGAAGCAGGAATAGAGCTTCTTAATCAGTGAGGGGTCAGCCAGTGTTACTCAGTGGTTGAGCATCAGCCCGTGAGCTAGGAGGCCACGGGTCAATCTCAGTCGGGGCACATGCCCAGATTGCGGGCTCGATACCAGTAAGAGGCATGCAGGAGGCATTCCTCTCCCTTCCTCTCTCTAAATTCAGTAAAAATACATTTTTAAAAATTATGTAAGATCTTTTTTATTTTTTATTTTAAGAGTTAGCAAGTGACTAAGTCTTGTTAAACTATGTGAGTTCAAAAACACCGTTATCTGGGGCAAGTTTGGCCACAGACTTGAAGTTGTTGACTTTAGAGTCCACCAGGATGGTCCTCCGTGTGTTTGAAGACAGAGGTCGCGTCTCCTCCCAGTTCCCACGTCCTCATGGCAGGGTCTTCCAGGGCAGGAACAGAACCTTATTTCATTTTTTATTTTTAACTCCAAAGCCCCGCCCACGGTAACTGTTAGATTAATGGATGATTGCTTTCATAACATGGCTTTTGGTCCACCCAACTGCTGAGTGCTTCCTGGGGCCTATATCTCCGAGGGATGGCCCAGAGCACTGTGCGGGGTGGGGCAGAGTTGGTCTGGTCGATAACGCTAGGGGGGTGGGTTGACTCCAGCAGCCATTTCGCTCTCTCCTAAGATGCCTTCCTGCTCGGTAGAGGAGGAAAGCTAGACACTGCGTCTTGACTCCCTTCAGCTGGGGTTCTGGATGCGCCACAGGTGAGCCCATGAGATGGCCTCACACAGACAGGGAAGCCGGAGTGAGGGGAGGCTGTGAGTGCCCAGCACAGTGTGGAGGCGAGGGAGCTGTGACAGAGGCGATGGGCTTTCCAGCAACATCCCACCTTGGCTCCGCAGGTGTCTTCACCGCGTTGCCCTGACAAGCACAGCATCACTGAGGCCAGCGGCTGTGGCTTCTTCCTTCCTGGGTCACAGCTAAGGAGACGCATTCCGAATGCTGACCCCACACCTTCCCTACGGTGTCCCCGGCAGCAGCTTTTCTGGCAGGTCTGGCTAAGATGCTGAGTGCCATTCCTGGAGGCCCAGCTCAGAGCCCATCCTCTGCCGGCCCAGGGATTTCATAAGCACTTGGTTCCCTGCATCACATTCATTTCTGATTAAAAGAGCCTGAGTGGTCTCTATTGTTAGGCCCTGGCTGACACCTCGCTGATACGGCGCAGAAGGACAATTACAGTGTTCATGGCGTCAGGAAGCCAGGAAATCAGCCATGATTAGGCCCTGTGAAGTGTGGGACCACAGGGAGGGACCGGGAGGGATGCTAATTAATCCTAGGCCAAGTCTTTTAAATCGCACAGATTCTGGGGCAGCCATTAAGTCACAGTCAGGATGCAAATATGGCTCCTGATAATAGAAGGCTCTCAGAACAACCAGAAGGATGGTCTGAAGTGGAGAGTGGAGAAAGACCTCATTAATGAGAAAGCATTCGTTGCTTGCTCGGAACAAAGGAGGCCTCCAGCTCCGCACCCTGCAGGCCTGCTCCCTGGCACTAGAGCTGGCTAGCAGGAACCCCCTCCCCCATTAAGTCAGAGCCCCACCAACGTTTCTGCGGAGAAGCAGAGGGCCACTGGAGTTGGAGTAACAGATCCAGAATTGAAACTTTACCCTCCTCCCTCACTAGCTGTGTGACTCTGAGCCTCAATTTCTTCAGTGGCACAATGAGGACTTACAGACTTACAGGGTTATTGCAGAGATGGGCTAAATCTACAAATTTACTTATAGATCCATACATACAGTTCAAGGCAAACGTTATCAGCAGTACTTCCCAACCTTGGCGAGCACAGGATTAAAAAGTATATACACACCATTGCTCACGCCTCACCTCAGACCAAATGAGTCAGAATCTCTGGGGTGGGGCCTGAGTATTTAAAACTCCCAGGTGACGTGCATGTGCAGTGGGGGTTGTGACAAACAGGTCCCTGGTCAGGTATAAGGAACAGCAAGGTAAGGCATGAGGACTATTCAGGCAAGAACACTGAGCTCAGGCCAAAGCTCTGGGTTTGAGTCTCGATTCAGCCCCTTCTTAGTGGCTGGCCTTGGAAAGCTCGCTAACTTTTCTGAACATTCATCTCCTCAGCTCCCTTAAAAGAGGAAGAAGCTGCAGAAACCGGTTTGGCTCAGTGGATAGAGCATTGGCCTGCGGACTGAAGGGTCCCAGGTTCGATTCCGGTCTAAGGGCATGTACCTTTGGTTGTGGGCACATCCCCAATAGGGGGTGTGCAAGAGACAGTTGATCGATGATTCTCTCTTATTGATGTTTCTCTCTATCCCTCTCTCTTCCTCTCTGTAAAAATCAAATATATATATATATATATTTTTTTTTTTCTTTTTTTTCTTTTTTTTTAAAGAGGAAGAAGCTGCCCTACAGGTCTCCTGTGGGGGCAAAGGGAGGAGTCACACAGGAACTGAGCCCTTACCTGGTACCAGTAGGGGCTCAAAAATGCAAGCTACTGGCAGCAGCAGCCTCAAGGCAATCAAAGTGGCATCTCAGGTCTGTGGAGGAGTGCTGTCTTTTTACCCACTGCATGCGAGGCATCTAAGACCATGCCTGACACATAGTAGGTGCTCAATAAAAAACAGTTAGATGAACGAGTCATCATGACAGGGCTGTGAGTCCGACCTGTGATGGCCCAGCAGGGAAGAGCATGCCAAGAGAGAGGCTGGAAGACGCCCCTGGCCCTCTGCCCTCCAGAGGCCAGTGCCACATGCAGGGAGAGCAAGGCTACCGCGAGTGCCCAGCCAGCCACCCACTGCCCACCGAGATTCTGAACGCCCCGCCGTGATGATGTTTCTGTTCCCTCAATAACCCGCTCCTTATCCTAAAGCGTGAGCTGGGGCCACGCTCTTGACCTGGTGCCATCCGCGGCGCTGGGCTTTGCAGGGGGCTGTCCGTGAATTGCGTCTTAAAGCTTCTTCAGCTTCTCGAAACAGGGTTCTTCGTCCATAATCTACACCAGAGACGAGGGAGGAGAATCGGTGAGGCCCAGGGGGTAAGTTCACAGTGACATCAGTTTTGTAACTTACATGTAAGTGTGCCCACAGCCTGTATGTGAAGTCACCCGCTGTAGCACCGTTTGTAGCAGCACAGTGTTAGAAAAGCTAAATGCCCAGCAAAAATGGAATAATAGTAGTCTATAATAATAAAAGCATAACATGCTAATTAGACTCATGTCCTTCCAGACGTCCTTCCTTCTAGACAAAGCTGCGGCTGGCAGGGGCCAGAGCCAAGGCCCTTCACAAATTGTGTGCAATGGGCCTCTAGTATGTATAACAATGTACAGCCCAATGGAGCAGGTCTATATACAAAAGGAACACTCTCCAGGGGTAGAAGCAGATACAGGACAGTGTGCACAATAGACCAGCATTTGTGTAAAGGGGAGGGCGGGGAGGGGGGATTGTGTTGAATGAGTGAAGGAACTGCTGGCGGCCACAGTACAGAGACTCCTGTCATCTGCCCTCCCTGATACCTGGACTCAGAGAGGCCTGCTTCTCCTAAGCAGCAGCAACTCGCCAGGTTCCTTTGCCATGAAAGCTAGGAGAGTTACCCCATTTCCCTCTTTGCCCTGGGGGCTAGGAAGCTCTTGCAAAACTCCAAAATAAACTGCAATAACTCTCTAGAGAAGGTTTCAGGACACACTTTCACTGCCTATTAAATGGCTGGGGGTTTTACCGTGACTGTGGTAACAACACAAATCAAGATTACTGCGTGCCAGAAACGTTTCTTTTGCCATTTAACCTCCCTGGAAAGCCTGTAAGGTGGGCATAACGATTCCCATTTTACAGAAGAGGAAACTGAGGGTCAGAGAGGACCCAATTGCCAGAGGCCTCCGAACTAGAAAGTGGCAGAACACGGTTCCAACCTAGCTCTGCCTCATTCCACTCTTCTTCCTGTAACTCCATAGAACACTAGCCTCTCAGGCAAGGCAGGGCACTCTGGCACCCTAAGATCTGGCACCCTTCTTAGTCCAATTTTTAAAGATGAAGAAACAAAGGCTTAGAAAGACAAAAAGGCTCTCCCAAACTAGTTGTGTGCTGATAAGATTACGTGCATACGATGCAGCTCCACTGCTTCTCATGAGCTAACGGAACTGCTGCTTGGACTGAAGGGCCTGGGCTCACCCTGTGCCCCCTCGGCCTGCGAGGCGCTTCTGGAGATGTGGGAGTGGACGGCTCTCCGTGGCGACGACCTCAGCTCCGAATTGGCCCCGTTGACGTAGACGGAGAAGCCCTGCTCCAAGTGCTCCAGTCTCAGCTGCACGGGGTCCTTGGCCTTCAAATGCTTTAATATCCTGGAAGAGAAAGGATCACCTGATCCTCTTACAGGAGTCTGGGCCACCCCCACCGCCATGCGGAACTGAACTGCTGCTCTGATCCTCAGAGGCTGTGGGATGGGTCCCAAGCTGCTGGCAGACAAACAGCCCGGAGGAAGCCCATTACACCCGGAGGGAAGCAGGAGGAAGACTGTTTCCCCTGCAGGGACGTTTCTTATTTCATTCTGAGGCTCAAATGTGCGCACGTTAGCAACACACCACAGAGCACATCCTTGCCCCACAGTGGCTGAGACAGAAAGCGGGCACACATGCGCACTGCTACCACACAGCCCGGACTCCTGGGACCATCCCAATCCCACGCGTTTCCTCTTGTGGAGACAGCGGCCCTGGGTGCAGTGTGTAAGCAAGTGTGGATTAGGATCTGAGCCTTTGTGAGAGATTTCACAGACACACCAACAAGTCAGAAACCCCTCGGCCAACCAGGCAGGCTGGTTTTTTGCTTCAGTAAATAAATGTGCTCTCAAACACTCGCCTGATATATCACTGTCATCATTTTATAGTCTAATGCATCATTTTATATTCTAAAAATATATCAATGTAGGATTTTGTTCAAGATTAATGATGTGAGTATCGCATTCACAGGCTACAAGGCTCTTGGCCTGAGCACGAGCAGATCGCCAGTTCAGCTCTCGCCTTAGGCTCGGTCCTTTCCCCACTCATGCGCCACAGACGGCATGAATGTCCTCTTCAGCCCCTCCAGAGCTGCTGACACCAAACCCTTCAGTCTTATAACAAACCCCCATGTGCCCCATATTAACTAGACATCCGCACAAGAAGAAATACAACCAACCAGCATGGCAGTAGGTGATTAAATAAGTTCCTCCCAAACCAGCGAAATGTAAATTTTAGAAAACAATGGTAACCACATATAGGGTGTGTACCATATGCCAAACTCTGTTCTAAACACTTATATCAACAGTTGAGTCGCATTATTCTTGCTATTTACATCTATAAAGTTGCTGCAAACCCTGAATTAGCAAATAGTGAACACAGCTCGTAGGGGAAACACAGGTTTCGTTCTGAGAGCCGCTGGTCAGTGTTCCCACCACCTGAGCAATACATAACCTTGCTGTATGCGTTACATAACCTTTCTGTAGGAAGGCACCGTATTTAATACAGAGTCAACTGATTAACATTGAACTCATGGCGAACAGCACTCACACTCACGCCTGGTTGAAGCTTGCCTAATGTGTATTTTCTCTGTAAGAAGCATCAGCTTTTCATACTTAACAACACGAGAGAGCACTTTAGCACTATGCCTGAGGCCCGTTTAAGCAGCGGGATCACCAACAAAAAGCACACGAGTGTGGAAAGCGCAGCCCTAAGTATGTCGCAGCAAGGACCCTGTTCACGGTGTAAGAGCTGACACAGAAGGCAGGGTCGCTTCTTCTGCCCCTCAGCTGACAACGTGCAACTAAAATTTTCTGCCACTCTGCAAATGTCTTTAAATTACTGTAAAAGCACTGAAAGTATTGACTTTGAAGTTCCAAATAAATTCTAGTGAGCAGATGAATTCACAAACATGGGTATTGTGAGCCAGGAGGATTGGCACAACCATGTATGGGGTAATTGCATTTATTGTCCCCATTTAATAGAGAAGGAAATGGAGGCACAGAGAGGTTAAGTAACTGGCCCAAGGTCACACAGGTGGTATTGTGGTGTCAGGTAGGAAGTGAAACATGAGGCATGGGTCTGCCCTGAGGTACTAAACAGGGGTCAAACCAACTTGGCCTTCAGACGGCCAGTAGGCAGATTCAGAAACAGCTGGTCCATGGTGCAAGCTCAGAGGAAGAAGATATGATCTCAAGGCCAATGTGACCTTACTAGGGCCCTAGACTAATTATAATAAAATTTGCATTTCAGTTTTGACCCCACTGTCTGTGAGTTTTTCTGTATACATTATGAGTAAGGGCAGGCCCAAAAAATATATAGTTTCTGTCAATCATCCCTGAATGCAAATCAAAGTCCCCACCCAGAAAATCCCTCTTTAAAACCCAGGAGTTGGGGGCCATGTGTGCTCGCCTCCCTCCACCTCTCCCTCTCTCTCTCTCTCTCTCTCTCTCTCTCTCTCTCTCTCTCCTGATCTACTCCTTGCTTGGAACGTAACTTCAATAAACCCCATTTTGTAATTGATGGGGGTTTTCATGATTCAGTTTTACTATTGCATCTGCTTTTGTATCCCATGAAATTAGTTCAATTTCGCACCCAAAACATGAGTGAAACCACCTATGCTCTTACAGTATAGCTGTTTATAGATTTTGTTTGCTTTATGTTTCACTTTTCAGTTGGATTTAACTTATACATACTTTAAACCTCTTCATAATCTTTCTCGGAAATGGAGAATAAAGTATGCAAAGTTTCTTTCAGGCCTACAAAACTAATGAATATATGCCTCACAAATAGTAATAAAACTTAATTATCAAAGTTTTATAATTCATTATTAATTAAGCTGTTTTATTTTATTTATTTTTTTAAAAAATACATTTTATTGATTTTACATAGAGAGGAATTGAGAGGGATAGAGAGTTAGAAACGTCGATGAGAGAGAAACATCGATCAGCTGCCTCTTGCACACCCCCTACTGGGGATGTGCCTGCAACCAAGGTACATGCCCTTGACCGGAATCGAACAGGGACCTTTCAGTCCACAGGCTGACGCTGAGCCAAACCGGTTTCAGCTTAAGCTGTTTTAATATTTTCAATTAAAGCTGACAGTGCAAGCCTAAATTTAAAAATAAACAAATAAACCCCATTTTGCTTTTCTTTTCTTTTCGTTGACCTTAAAATCTCTTCTGCATCAATGAAAAGAACTGAGGTCCCAACCAGTAACCCCAGTCGGTAACACTGGCAGGACTAAAACGCAAACCTAAGCAATTTGGCTCCAGAGTCATCAGCACATGAAGACAACTTCTACAGGTAACACGGGATGAGGCTGAAACAGCAAAACACAGACACTGGCAGTAACTCAGACGCTTCTCAGAAGTAATATAAAAACAAAATGCCACCCGCCTGGTCTTTGCTCAGTAAATACGTTCTGGCCAGTTGTTCCTGATCAGTTATAACAAACCCTGAAATCAACCCAAATGTCCCAGGGCGGGAAAGGGGAGCCCGGGCTCGCATGCAGCCATTATAATTATGAAGAATTTGTCGAAACATGGGCTGCTGCTGGGATCCGTTCAGTGACGACAATGACAGAATAAAAGTGTACGTATGTGTTTAAGTGCAAAGTTGGAAAAAGGTGTGTTTGTGGACCCAGAATGGAAGGCAATCAATGTAAAAATTAGATCAGTTGTTAAGGTAGGGTGGTGGCTTTATGGGTGATTTCTTTCTTTGTTTTTAACTGTTTCTTGAGCTGCTACTACATCCATCTTTTCAACCATCGTGACAGGAACATTTATTACATACGGCTTATCTCTTGTCAGCTTGAAAGCCTGGGAGATGCCTGACTGTGGGGCAACAGCATAAAACAGAAGGAAAACACAAGTAACCAGGAGACAATTTCCAACACAGCAAGAGCAGCACTCTGGAGCCAACAGCCACAGGCTCCCTTGGAAAGCACGGCAGTCTCTGGGGAGAGGCCTGCAGGGAGCCCTTGCCTGGGAGGCTCCAACGTGGGGGGAGGGGGCTAAAGAGGTGGGGGAAGGGGGTCAGAATGCCTGGCAGAGTGACTGCCTCAACTTCCCTCTGGAGACCACACTGTCTCCTGATGCCACCTTAATGGGTACGGCGGCAGCCCGTTCCCCAGAAGCTGAGGCTGGCCCACCACGTGGGCCTTTCTTTAAGCAGGATGATTTATGAAAATGTGGATTATGAAGCTGATAAATGAGGAGATAATTATTCAAACTGCGAAAGGAATCGCTAAAGGAACTCCTCTGCTGCAGCTGAGCACATCAATAATATTCACTGGATCAAAGAAAAATGGTTTTTAAAAAATTGATAGACTGTTTTGCATAAAAAGCTGCCCTAGGTGAAGGGGATTCTAAACAATTCGGTTGATTCCCTGCTCTTGAGGAGAGGGCCCTGCCCTTGCGGCCCATCCCACTCTGCTCTCTTGCAGGTCTAGGTGGCGCAGATTTGTGAATCCCTCTACTCTCCCTCCCACCTGTCAGGATTCAGCCCCTGGGCTGCAGGTCCATGCTGAGAACCAGGAACAGTGAGGGACTCCCTCGAGACCTCTTTCTGAAACAAGTGGCCCCAAAGAACTCCAGGCCAGCAAGAAGGGAAGGCACGGGTGCGGGTCCTAACACAGCCCTGGGTACCCAAAACACAGCGTAGACATCATTTCCATTTTCCCCCACACCGGTCATTTGTACAGAGAGCCTTTTTGTGCCGAAGAGGAAGTGGAGACAAGGTGTTATGAGGAAGTTACGGGGAACACGGCACGCTTGATAGCTGGGTGGTTGGGCACAGGCAGGGACCCAGGTGAGAGGACTGGCCGAGCTCAAAGAGCAGGCGGTGCGCTGCTCATGAACCTGTCTGGGCTCGGGACGGAGCTATCCCCGTCTGAGCGCGGAGGTTGCTGTGTGACAGTGGACTAGCCCAAAGGTCACCTGAGGGTACTAAGGGTCAGGCATTCAAGGTCTACCGGATGCCAGCTCAGGGAGAAGGCATGTTTAACATGAAAATGATGATATGATGATGAAGAAATCATACTTGGGTGGTGGGCTTACTATGCACCATCAAATACCTTGTCTCATCTCCTTTTTGGCTCTGGGACTAAGTCCTCCCACTGGCCTGTTTGATAGATGAATGTGCCCAAGGTCAGAGAGCCAAGGAAGCAGCCAGGACATAAATTACAGTCTGCAAGGCTCAAGCCTGCCTCCCAGCCGCCTTTCTGCTGTTTCTTGTCTCCTCACCAGGTTTCACGCCACAGGCTCAGAGCAAGGAGGGTTCCCAGAGGAGTGTGACTCTCAGCTGAGGAGTCTTAGAGGTGGTGGCGTTGGAGTCCAGCAGCATGACGTTGAAGGTGGTGTTGAAGCATGAAGCAGAGAGCAACGGTGCCAAAAGCTGCCTTTCCTTCCAGAACCCGGTGGCCCCCGGCTCCAGTATTGGTTCTCCAGGATGTCACCCCCCCAATCCACATGGGCGGAGGTGGTGCAGTGTTGAGGACAAAGCTCCGCCCTGGGGGCTCTGCCAGTGCCCCAGGAGCTCAGTTTCCCCTTCTGCAGAATGAACCAAGAATGCCTGCACCTGTCTGGTTGTCAGAGGATGGAATGGGAGGCCAGGCTGAAGCTCCAGTTCAAGAGACCATCTGGTGTGAGGCCCGCACTGGACACTGGTTCTCCTGTTCCTTCCTTTTGCCGGAATCTTCTCTTAAGGCAGTGGGCTCACCTTCCATATGGGCAGGTTTTCCTCTAAGTTTCCCTCCAAGACCTTTTCCAAAAGGCAAACAATGCCGCTGCTGGATTCCTGGCCCTGGCCACGCTCCACAATGAGTTGCGTGTTGCAGCCCCCTTGGCTGTGAGCTTCAGTCCCTCCGCACATCTCAGCCCTCTGATCCCTCTGCTTGCTCTCTCCTGAGTCCCGGTGGGCATGGTTACATCTCTCAGGAAGGCGAGTGACCACACACTCAGTGTCCTCTGGAGGGTTGGTGCAGGTGAACGGGCCTCTCCTGGAGCACATGGTCGCTCTGAGCTTCTTCTGGAATATACTATAGGTGGCCTAGTGCTCCCGGCTGAGGCCTGGGGAGTTCCTCCAGGGCAAGGGCTGTGTGGTAGACACCTGTTCTGACTTCCTGCCTGCCCGGCACCTCTCCCCATCTTCCCCCCACAGCCCTATGGCCCCCCTACTTCCTGGGAGTAATTCCTAATTAAGCCACTCCTTACTCCACATGCTGTGGGTGAGCTGACTCCACCCCCAGCTTAATGTGTGGCCAAGGAGTGGCCAGTCAGATCATGCTACCTCATCAGACACAAGGGGTGATTAGCTCAGGAATGAATCTGGGGCCCCAACCTGACCAATGTGGCTGCCCTGGCCTCTATGAGGGGAGTACCTGTCTGAGATGTCTCCAGCATGGGAAAACAGAGCTAAGAGATGAACAGTGACTGACTTCAGTGACATAATTTTTTAAAAATTGATTTTAGAGACAGAGGAAAGGAGAGGGAAAGAGGAGAAAGAAGAGGGAGAGAGAGAAACATCGATATAGGAAAGAAACATTGATCGGTTGCTTTCCACCCTGACTGGGGATGGAACTCACAACTTTAGCATGTGCCCTGACCAGGAATCAAACTGGTGACTTTACAGTGCATAGGATGACATTTAACCGAGTCACACTGACCAGGACTCAGTGACATAATCTGAGCATCTGGATCCAACCATGCCTGAAGCGAGAATATCATCCTGGTTTTTTTTATTTTTTATTTCATGAGCCAATAAGTTTCTTTGTTGCTTTAAGTCCATTCACCTTGGGCTTCTGTACCTTCCAGTAAGGAGCACTAACAGCCTGTCTTCCTCAGCACGCTGTTCTTCATGCTAGTGGTGATGCATGCTAGTGGTGATGCGAGGCACTGAGAAGGCGCAGTGAACCGAGCGAGTAAAAGAACAATGTCACCCAGCATCTGTGGGCAGCTGCGTCCTGGGCAGATCTCTCCTGAGCACTCACACCACTGACTACTGCACCCCCTCTCCGGTCCCGGGGCAACCAGACAGCAGCCTGCGTTTCATCTTCCTCTAGGCATAGTGTAAAGCTCAGAGGCTGGTTTCCTACCAAATTCTTAACTTCGTAATGAGCTTAGAGCACCTGGCTACCCTGGCAGGTTTCTCTCCCCTTGGTTATTTATGACAATGTCAAACAAGACATGATTGAAAACAACAAAAAAGCCCACTGCATGGGAGAACATATTTGCCATTGTTTTCTCCGATAAGGGCTTAATTTCCAACATCTACAGGGAACTCATACAACTTAACAAAAGGTAGATAAACAACCAATCAAAAAATGGGCAAAGAATCTAAATAGATACTTTTCAAAAGAAGACAGAAGGAAAAACAAGAGGCACATGAAAACATGCTCAAAGTCACTAATCATCCAAGAGATGCAAATCAAAACGACAATGCGGTACCATCTCACACCCGTCAGAATGGCTATCATCAACAAATCAACAAACGACAAAAGCTGGCGAGGATGTGGAGAAAAAGGAACCCTCATGCACTGCTGTTGGGAATGCAGACTGGTACAGCCACTGTGGAGAACAGTATAGAGTTTCCTCAAAAAACTAAAAACTCTCATTTGACCCAATGATCCCACTTCTAGGAATATATCCCAAGAGACTAGAAACACTAATTAGAAAGGAGATATGCACCCCTATGTTCATAGCAGCACAATTTACAATAGCTAAGATTTGGAAACAGCCTAAGTGCCCATCAGCAGATGAGTGGATTAGAAAACTGTACATCTACACAATAAAATACTATGCTGTAGTAAAAAAGGAATTCTTACCATTTGCAACAGCATGGATGAACCTGGGGAGCATTATGCTAAGTGATATAAGTCAGGCAGGGGAAAGATAAATATCACATCTCACTCATTTATGGAATATAACGAACAACATAAACTGATGAACAAAAATAGATCCAGTGACAGAGAAGCATTGATCAAACCATTAAACCTCAGAGGGAAGGTAAGGGAGGGGAGGGGTAAGGGGCAGAGATCAACCAAAGGATTTGTATGCATGCATATAAGCCTAACCAATGGACACAGACAACAGGGGGGTAAGGGAATGAGGGGAGGGATAGGGAGAAAATGGGAGAATAAGGACACATATGTAACACCATAATCAATAAAAAAAAATTAAAAAATAAAATATATTAAAAAAAAAAGAAAAAAAAGAATGTACAGCCCAGCTGCACCACTTCCTGGTGTATGACCTCGGGCTAATTGTACACTGCTCTGGTCTTCACTTCCTTGTCTGTAAAATGGGTGCAACAACTGTATCTGCCTCATCAGGTGGGTAGTGTGCAGACAAAATGATGACGATGGGGGCGAGGCGTCTGGCACACACTGGCCCCCAGAAAAGGTGCTGTGCTGTTAAAGCAACACTGTTGACAGCTCAGATGCATTCCCCTTTTTTCTTTTTAGATGTTCCTTTTTAGTTCTGCCTTCTAATTTCCTGTCATCAAGCCAGCTCCCTCTTGGTGACAACACAGCTCCCAAATTTTATAGCAGCTCTGTTTTAGTATTTTTTAATTGCCTTTGTGCTGCAACCTGGTCACTGGATATCCTCCTGCACTCGTATATCAGCTGGAACCTCTCTGAGCATATACTTATTGATCCCCGATTAATAAGCAGCCGTTTGCTCATATGACACTCTCCTCCCTTAGAAGTCACATGTATTTAATTAAATGACCACCCAGGTGTCAGGGGCACCATGCAGCCTGCCAGAAACTGAGAGAAAACCACCTGCTCCATGGCATTCGTGAAGATGGAAAACCCACACAAGGCTCCTAGCTGGAGGTCCCCTGAGGGGAGAAGGGGGAATGAGCACGGAGCAGCTGGGCAGAGGACAGTGCCTTCCAGCAGGAGGCATTTCTGGCTGTTCCCACAGTTTTCTATTCAGAGGTTCTCCACTGGAGGAGTAGGGCCTCACCGGGAGCACCTGGATAGGTGGGCGGTGCTGTTGTCATAGATACAGGGGTCTTAGTGGAATTTAGCAAAGGGGCCAGTGGGCAGGAACACTACACTCCTACAATATATGGAATCTCTTTCACATGGAAACCTGCCCCATGAGACATGCCACCAGGGCCCCAGGTGACAAGCACCAGGAGTCCGGCAGTCAGAGAGGGGCTGAATCCACGTTAAGGATGACAAGCCCTATACAACTGGCCTGTAAGACCAAGCTTATTCCCATAACACAAAGGCCCAGATTAGCCCGCAGGCCTGCCCCTCCTGCAGGTCTGTTTTGGGGGCCTGCACCACTCTCCCATTTGTTCTGCACTTTCACTTGAACCCATTACTAACATTTAAAACGCAGGAGGCTTCACAACACAAGTGCAGATTTCCGGCTTCTCGGGCAACCGTGGAGGCCATGACCCTGCCCCATGTTCCCAAACAACTGGCCTGAGCTGAGCACTCCCCCACGGAGCGGGCTTCGCTCACTGCTTGGCCCCTGCTAGCATCTGAGTTTGCAAACCCAGCCTCCTGCAAGGTCCCAGGCCTGAATCAGACCACAGTGAACTGAAAGTGAACTTCCAGAGGCGGCACACTGTCACAGCACTGAGGACGCGGTGCCTCTTTTCAACCAGACTCCCTGCTTTGACCGCGGTCACCAAACACTGCGCCCACCTACTGCAGGCTTTTTCAAGAACCAGCGCTCCAGAGCCCAAATGCATACCGACTTAACGTTAAGTGGCATGGGGACCAGCTTCAAACACAAGTGCAAAATGATTCCACCTTTACATAATGAGGCATGATTACGGGCTCAGATTTCCCAGCCCAGCACAGCCTGAAAGACCGCAGCCTGGGCTCTTGCGGTGACTAATGCACAGGCCCTGCCAAATCCTAGCTTTTCAGTCCAAACCCACCTTCTCCCAGAGCAGAAACAGGGAGGCAGGAGGTGGCACTCGCACACTGAACTGTTTGCTACAGCTCAATCAGAAGTGCAATGAAGTCGGTGAATGCAGAAAATACTCCGAGCCCCTGAGGGGGGTGACTGCATCCCATTCGGGTGAACCAGCGCCTGCGTGCTGCTGATAAATCTAAACAGGGTTCTGATTTGGCTAATATTAAGGGCTGCCGGCGAGCGGCTTTGTCTTACCGGTTCCTCTGCTGAAGCAATATTAAATACTCATCATGTTTCTCATCAAAGTCTGTCACCATGTCCTTAGTGTAACCCTGAAATGAAGAAACAGAGCAGTGTGATATGGGAAAGCAGGGAAGTATTCACGGAGGCTCGGCCAAGTGCACGCACACAGGAGGTAGAGAGGCAGAGGGTGACCTTGACGCAGGCGTGGCTCCCCAGGCGCGTCACTCTGGAGCTGCAGAGCCCCAGAGACTGTCCCATATCCCACTGGGCTGTGAACACACACAACTAATGATCTACGAAAAGGAGAAGCCGATTCCCCAGCGCCACCGCTCATTCCTCCCAAGCCCTACAAAATCAAGGGCGTGGACAGATTTGAGCTTCACTCTTTTCTCCCACACGTTAACTGTTCTCAAAGTTATAACCAGATGCAACCCAAATCAGCTGATTAAGAGGGGATCTCATTTTTCTCTTGCCACCACAAGAGAAATGCATGCAATAACTCAATTATTACAAATACTTATGACCCAGAGTGATGGTCTCTTAAGAGCAGACATTTGGGGATTTGTACCTGTCCTTCTGACAACAGAGCTCTGGATTCCCCCAGGGGAACCATTCAGCCCCTTCTCTCAGTCCACTGGCTGCCTTGGATGGCCTTGAAAGTTCTTTTGTTCTCCTCTAGAATCACATGACCTTAGCCTTGGCCTCACCAGTCAACATAGTGCTTCCATAGCCACAATGATTCACTGGTCTAAGGCTGAGACATGACCAAGCTGGGCTTTGCTGACACTCATAGGGAAAAGCTCCTCTCTTCCCTCTGTAGTGGTAAGCTGATGCGATGCAGGTCTGAATTGCCTGAGGATGAAGTCAATAAGGACAGCAGATCTGAGAAATGGAGATTCCCAGTGACATCATTTGAGCCCCTAGGTCCACCCATCCCTGAAGAATTTAGTTATTGCTTTGCAAATTTCAGCTGAATTTCTGCCATTTGCAGCCCAAAGAATTATGTCAAAAATCATAATCTGACCATAAAATTTTATAGGTATAATTAATGATACTACACGTTTAAAGTGACATATGAATATACTAGTAAAACTCCCATTATAATTCTATGTAATAAAAGCCTAATATGCAAATTGTCCCCTGGAGCGGTTGTTCGACCAGGAGTTTGACCGCTTGATATATGTACTGACCACCAGGGGGTGGCACAGAACATGGTGGGCATCAGCGACGACGTGGTGCTGGCATCAGGCAGCAATGGAGGTGTTGCAAGCACCAATGGGCCCCTATGAGAGCGGGACGGTGGCGGGATGGTGGAGCAGGCGAGTGGGCAGGGGCAGGCCAAGGCAGGTACGAATCCCCAGGCTGGGATGGGGATCTGGGGGTAGGTGGCAGCTACCAACTTCCCACAGAGCCTTCTTACCTGGGGGTGGGGGTGACAGGGACAGAGGTGTGCTAAGAATGAGGGGTGTCTGCAGAGCTCACTCTCACTCCCCTCACTACCCTCCCCTGGAATGCCAGGGCTCACACCAAGGAAGCCTTGCATCCACACAGCCTCTTCTGGGTGGGACCGCAGGGCCTGGTTGGGCTCCCTGTGGGTTTGCACAGGAGCCGATCTGCAAGGCCGACAGGGAGAGAGCGTGCTGCCCACCGGGTTTCTGTGCAGCACTGCTGGACAGCCCAGAGGCCCACACTGCACCTTGGCCTGCTACATCTGGGTGCACCCACTGCATCGCCATGTGGAGACTCAGTGCTGTGACTCAGGCGGAGGGTTCCCATGGGGCCCAGGGGCCCAGGTGATGCCCAAGGCCCAGAGGTCAGCTGGGACCTGCCCTTCCACACCAGACGCTCATGCTTCCATCACTGGCCAAACCTAGGGACTGAACACATGCATGAATTTTGTGTATCAGGCCTCTAGTTTGATATATATTCCTCTAGATGTTTTTCTTTGTTTAAAAAAAAAATTTATATACACACACACACACACACACACAAACAAACACACATGCTTTTAAACAAAAATAGGATCATGCCATAAACAATTCTTTGCAATTGTCTGTGTTCCTTAAGTAACTTTTTGCCAAGGAATGTATTAAAGAGACAATATCAACTTGGTTCTAGTCACAAATTATAGGGATTAAGTTTTAAATGGCAAGTAAGACATCTGTAATAAAAATTCAATTGTGTGAAAATCCAAATGATTAACATGGAAAGAAAAAAAAAAAATCTCCATTGTCCTCTTCTTAAATTGTCAAAATGTGACTTTAACCCATTATTCTACCATAACCCTACCCTAGGATGACCGAAACCAAATGTAACAGCTCTTCCTTCCTCACCCCACTCAGCCGCTCCGGGCCCTGGGGAACCGCTGACCACGCCTGGCAGCTCTCCTCTAGCTTCTGCAGCTCCAAATGCATCTCCTTCCCCCCAGACCTCTGCCTGGGCCTCTCTGGCTGCCCTTCCTCCTTTGGCCTCAGATGTGGATGGTCACTGTCCATCTCACCTTTCTGGGCCTCTCTTTCTCTGTCTTTAATTCTCTTTCTGATCCTAAAGAAATGGGCTGTGGAACCCACAGAGTCCAAGGCTGAGGCTTAACTGCACTGGGTGCGGGAGGGGCCCAGTTCCTTCCAGAATAACAACCTGTGTGAGGGGACAGTTTATGCAGCATTTCCATATACATGGCTCTCCTCTGATCTTCACAGCAGCCCTTGAAGTAGTTACCATTACCCCACTTAAGATACAAGGAAACCCCTTCCAGGCATCTTCCAGGAACTGGGATCCTCCTCCAAGGCAATTTACATAACCATTTTGAAATATTTAAATGACCGCTGATATATTACAGTATGGAATGAAACAGTCTATGACATTTTTAGATGAAATATGAGACTTCAAAGAAATCTCAGCTTGTGGTGGGCTGCCCTGGGCCTTCATCGCGTACCTGCAGAAGGAGGATATCATCAGAGACTTGAAGAGCACAGGCATAAATCCAGCCAAACCTTTTACCAGCCTGGGCCTCTCAAATGCTAATGTGCACACCCATTACCTAGGGATGGCGCTGAAATTGGGGGAGGGGGGATGCTTTTCTAACCAGCTCCCAGGCAATTCCTGTGGGCCACACTTTGAGTAGCAAGGCCCTAGATTAGTCCTTCTTACTCCTTGCTATTTACAATACACTCACCTCTAATAGGAAGTCTTTGGACTTGAGCTGGAAGAGCTATCAGCTTTGGGGTCCAGCCTAGCTCCAAGCTGCAGCAGTGCCATTAGTTTCCTCATCAGTGACACGGAGGTAATGGCAGTACCTGTCTGGGTGGGTTTCCTTCCCCTCTAGGGCGAATGCGGACCACACGCAGTCACAGTGGACAGGACTAACTTAGTACAGTACCTGGCACCTACAGAGCTCTCAGTGAACATTAGTTACATTCACATTTACAGAGCCCATTACTTAAAAAGCACTACCCCGGCCCCTCCTTACCCCCACCCATGCTCAGTTCTTCCCTAATGCCTTAATCATTCTACTCCTTTTTCCAGAAGTCCACTCCAACCCCCTCCAGTCGCCACCCAAAGCCTCTTCAAGGCTCAGCTAAGTTCTGAAAGTCTCCTTGAAGCCTTCTCCTGACATTCTCAACTCCCTTCTCTTCAGCTCATTCTGAAACCCTGCAATCCTATATAATAATCCTATGTAATAAAAGCTCATATGCAAATTATTCCCTTAGGTGGTCTTTCAACCAGTTCAACCAAGGGGCAGCACAGAACATGGCGGGCGTTGATGACGCACCACTGGCAGTAGGCGGCAGTGGAGACACTGCTGGCCCCAATGGGCCCAGACAACAGTGGAAGCACAGCAGGATGGTGGAGCAGATGAGCGGGTGGCACTAGGCCAAAGTGGGGGCCCAATCGCCCCACAGATGGTGACCAGAAGCAGTAGCAGGGGACAGGCCCACTGCCTGGCTCCCAGGTGCTGATGGAGCCGGGCGGGGGGGCCCAGCCTGACTGATCACCCCACAGGCAGGATGGTGGAGCAGGTTAAGGGGTGGCGCCAGGCCAAGGTGGGGTACCAGGCAGGGCTGCAAGGCTAGGGGTGCAAGCTGGAGCTGGAAGACACAAGCTGGGGCCCAATCTCTGCAGACCACCCCAAGGACCCCCTCCCCCATGCATGAATTCGTGCATTGGGCCTCTAGTTAAGTAATAGTTATATATAATCTGGAATTGATACTATTGTAATAATGTGGTTATCAATTAATAACTAGAAAGGAACAAAGGGAAGCTGCAATTTAGACACATGCCCAGTAACTTCCGGGTGATGTGAGAAGGTGCTTGTCTGTCAGTCATACCTGGGAACAGGTCATTGGCCGGAGTAGGCGTGTACGTGTGACCACTGCAAGCCCAAAGAGTTGACGTTTAAATCCCTGAACAATGGGCATTCTCTCTCTTGGTGCTTTTGGTGCACCTAGCCCTCTCACCCTCCCGGCCCTCTTGTTGCAGGGGGCATGCTCCCCTGCATTCGCCCACATGGCGCACAGCCATGTGGACGCCACACAATGGACTAATGGACGTTAGCCTGATGCGACATGGGACCCAGCCCACTATGGACCAGACTCTGGACACTGGCTTTGCTTCTAGCTTTGCTGAAGCCCCAGCTGCATATTTCCCGTGACTGGTTTCAGGGGCATGGGACTTTGGAAACTGAGGGGTATAATTTCACACAAATAAACCTTCCTACCACATCGCATTCTCCCATGTGAATCTTAGAAAATTCTCTTTCTCAAGACATTGCAAGAGCCCAACCCCCAGCTCCCAGCTCCCAGTGGGGACATACCCCACTTCCCACTAGCAACAGAGGAATCCCACCCGTGCAATCCTCCAAGAGCAGACTAGTGGATGACTAAGTTGTTATCACTTAACTATACATATTGCTCACTAATTATCTGGGGATTTGGAGACGTGGGTGTCATCCCTGATCTCCGCTTCTTACCTTGCCCGGGCCTCCGTTTCCTCCTATGTGAAGAGGGTACTAATAAAGGCAACCACACAGGCGGTCTAAGGGTTAGCCAGGAGCAGAGTGGAAGTAATTTAGGATCCTTGCTTTCTGGTT